TAAAAAGTATGATGAACGAATAAATAAGAGTACAAACTGGCCTCAGACTAGTACCCGGGATTGAATCATTTAGACCGCAGTTGGTCTTTGTTAAACTTTAGTGGTAACGGTGGTGGTTATGATGATCATAATGAGGATACGAGAGAGGAGGTGGAGGATAGTGGAGAATACGATGCTACTGGCTCTAATGATGAAATCAGTGATTATGAAGATAGGATATTACCATGACGATCTGAACGTACACGGCGATAGAAAAGCACCTCTGCGAAAGGATTCAGCAAATGATCAGGCAGTGGGCGTCATTACAGGTAAAGATGTGAGCGATGGCGCCAAATAATTTTTATGATACCTTTAATTGGACGAATTGTCAGCGACACAAAGTTGTTATTCTTGCGAACCCGATCGAAGTAAAAGTTGCAACTTTGTATTCGATCGGTTGGACGAGGCACTTTTAGTAGGAAATCCGTTCACTCAGTGCTCGCCTTAGCCGGGCACCAAAACGAGTACCTTAAACGCATAATTTCATCCAGCGTACAATGTAACGAACCTGATTTGTCGTATTTCGATTGTGAATGCTCATCGTTCATGTTTAGAGATATTTAGCTGCTTCCACACGGGCTACACATCGAATCATGTTTGCCTTGACCACTGTGCAATGCGTGTTTGTTAGTGAAGTCTTCAAAATCTTAGACGTTATTTTACCTAAGATTGTTCGCAAAGTTATTTGGCAGACGACCATAGATTCAGTCAAGACTAGATAGCTGGAGTATGTCGAACACTTGACATTGCGCCTTGAAATCCAGCCCGTTTAATTACTTGATCCATGAGGACCAAGACATTTTTCGCAGAACCTCCGGAAGCTGCAGCCTCCACGAGCGGAAGCGAATCGCGTTCGTTGAATATCGTTGCTACATATGCATAAGACGTCTATAGAATTGGAGACATCTTCAAACAATAATCAGACACAAGTGTAACACAACCGTGTATTGTTAACACGCTTCTAATTCGCAATTTTGGTTTGTTAAATTTGTTTTTTATTTCTAAACGGTTTTCTCAGTCGGCATTGCGTAAGACTCACATCCGAGAGGTCATGGGTTTGAGTTCAGGCCGGAGTTCACACACTATCACTCAGTTGCTTTTGTTCGTTCTGAATCTCATAGATGAGTACAACTCTGTGGGAATGGAACAGGAGACTGCACAGGGTCGCTTTTCGCATGGATGCGGTTGACTTCCTGGTCGACGGGATGCAAATGCAGATTGGCGCCCCGCCATTAACTTCATGAATGGCCTCAACATGTAGGTGCAAAGTAGAGCGACATTCCAACGGTTAGAAACTTTCCTTTCACTTGTTTTCTTTCCGACAGACATTATTCAAAACTATGTGAATAATTTGAAAACCTTGATTAATCGTAATTGAGGAAACATATTACATGTAAATTCAGATGTCAGAAGAAAATTCCCAGTGGCGTCAGTCAGACTCAAGAAACTCATTTGCCTGTGACGTACGGTGTTTTCAGCAACTGCTTAAAACGTGGCTGCCGCTAGTGCGCAAGTATTTCACTACTCGAGAGAAAACGTACCTGTCAGCTTGATGGGGGAAGAACTGGAAAGCGGAAGAAAAAACGTAAAGAAGTCAGACTTGCAGGAGATAAGGCATTGGCGAAAGAGAAGAAAATCGAACTGAAATGCCATCTAGCTGAAAAAACGATCGTGCTGCGGCCAAAACGAGCTGCTCCTATGGAAAAGCGTTCATATATAACAACCTTAGATGAGCTTTTGCTTAATCCAGCAACATAGCGGAAGAAGTAATACCAACCCGTCTTTCATTAGTTCGAAAGATGGATCGCGCATGCTCATAGGACTTAAATGTTCCGAGCGATTTAGGGAACATTCCCGGCGACTTAGGAACCGAGCTCCGCCAGCTACTTTAATGTTTTGCTTTCGGCGAAGTAGGACATCTGATTATGACTGCAGCATTGATGTACCAACCAGCAAAGAGAATATGAATGCTCTCCAAAAAGGACAGAGTGGTTAAGCAGCTGGATCAGATGACGTTCATGTGGAGCTGCTGAAATATATACCTAATACAGGGTTGCAGGCGTTGTTGAACATTATTCATGAGAGTTGGTAAACAGAGACAATGCCGGAAAAGTGGCACAAAACGGTGATTATTCCAATACACAAAAAAGGTGTTATATCGGATGCTGAAATTACAGAAGAATCAGTCTCCTCTGCGAGGCACTGAAGGTCACTGAACGAATTATCATCAGCAGAATTCGATCCCACAGAAGGAATACTAGCAGAGAAGAACAAGGTGGCTTTCGTCTGAGCTGATGGACGATCGGCCGCATTCTAACGTTGCGCGTTTTGCTGGAACTATCCATACACTTATTTCAACATTAAAATAAACACCGACTATATGGGTTTACTAGGCTGAGTGAATAGTCCCCTTGTTTGTAATGGCCTGAAGGACCGTTGATTTGCTGAAGCCAACAAAGCAATTCTTTATAACGAGTTCATTAGTAGAGATTTTGCTTTATATATGACATGTATCAGTTATTAAGTTTTTTGAAATTTTTAAAACATTGCCTTACGCTATTTACTCTGCCGATGTTCTACAGATTTATGGGTGAGTAGCGTGTTATGGCTTTTCGGTTTAAAGCACGTTTGTGAAATTCGATAAGACGATGCAGCAGATTGCGGACCGCACCTTTTTAACTTATATTTCACGAACGGTGCTGGTCAGGAATGGTCTTCTGATGTTGATCATTGACGCCAGTGACAGGCCAGTGTTGTTCCTTGCGCATTGTCACGAAATTTCGGGAAAAATTACTTTACACAACAGTTTGTGTTTGCGTGTCGGCAGTAATTTATGGCACTAACTTACGTTGATGCGTTTTTTAATCGAGTTTTGTTTAGGCACGGAATCCGCGAATATGTTTTTTCGGCGCAGTCGACCATTTTCACCATGCAGGAAAATTCCAGTGCGTCGACGAACTCCACCAACGTTCACAGTTCATGGAGGACCGTTCACACCGGCATTCTTACAGCTGGACTGTTCGTGTTTATTTCCGTTCTTGGTGAGTGATCGAAGTTTGACGTGCGTTCATTGGCTCATTGATTCACTGGTTCGTCGGTGCATCGATGTGTCCGTGGCACTGTTGGTTGTTTAACTGATGCAACGCCGCCTAAATCCAGTTAAGGCATCAAATACGTGTTACGTGTTCTGTGTGCATCACGTCGCTAGTGTTGTTCTAGTTTTTTACTGTGGTTTTCTTTGCTGACTTTCGCTAATCCAAAAACAGCAGCCGTTAAAGTTAACCCATCCGAGACTGCGTTTCAGAATCGGTGTTCGGCACCAGATTTATTTTTAGTATCAAAGAGCAACCTAGCAGGAAATATAATGCCCTTCTTTCAGTTTTAACATTTTCGCTTTTGATACCGCATTGAAGTGGCGTAATGGCACCATCCCCTTGCTTTTAGCTGCCTAGGGGACCATTTGAACAGGCCACGGCTCCGTGATATTTGAGCACTTGCAGTGCATGGATGCAAATCCGCATCACTTTTTTCTTTGTTTTGTTTGAAAATTTTCCTTCGTTCTTCTAATTAAGGTTTTTAGCAAAAATCAATCACTGTAGTATGTGTTTGCTAGCAAACTGCTAGGTTTCAGTACCGCCGGATAAGAATAAGAATTCTCCTGTCCTGC